GTATTACTTTGTCTGGTTTGGTGTTAGGTGGAAACATTTTAAACAATTAGAATGGTACCAGATGTCCAGGAGGATAATCTCAGCTCTAACAGGCAGGTTGTGTACTTATTCGAGCGTGTACGTAATTGTGCACTGAATAACTCAAACATGTTGGCTCTTTGTCTTATATGAGCTCCAACATGCTTATGGGGAGCAAGTAATAATTAAATCAGCTAGATTCTTGTTTTGTCAAATATGTAGTAAAAATTCAAAAGGTCCATAAAGAAAAAAAGCCATTTGTCTATGGCAGGAAGCTGGAGCCTCTCCCAGCCGCCCCAGAGCGAAGGGAAGAGTAAGGTAAGGCCACCAATCCATCAGAGGACCACACAGAGAACAACAATGGAGACACCTATGCATGCTCGCTCTCACTACGCTCAGTTTAAAGTCTCCATTGACCTTAATCGTGTTCTGGATGGTTTTGGTAGAAAAAGCCCAGAGAGAACAAACGCACACACAGAGAAAACTCTACAAACTCCGGAGAGAAAGGCCCCACAGAGGGGAATAGAACTGGTACATTTCTTGATTTTAATCAATCTTAAAATTAATTAGATCCTATATTTTCCCATATATACTGTTTGCCAAAACAAAATGCCATCACCTTAATAAAAAGTATATGAGGGCCTCATATTGGGAACATACTGCTGTTGAATGCATTTCAGCTGGTAACAAGTTTTTTGGTTGACAGCAAATAAACAAATTAACTGAGGAGACTGCTGAACTGATGAGAAATGGGCAACCAATTTTCAAACTTTAATTTAATTAACAAAGGTTTGATTAAAACTTGGATGGAAAGTAGTGACTAATTATTCTTAGCAAAGAAATGTGGGTGGAAGAAAATCTAAACAATCATGATCGGCAAACAAACGTCTAGTGAAATCAATTTGAGGAAAATCCACGGTAGAACTCAGGTTGTGCGCTATTTTATAGAAAATAAAGATGAGTGCAGAGAATTCTTACATTATTCTGCACGCATAGTGAGGAAGAGCTCAAGGTATCAAGACCAGGACTGAAGAGCCGACTCTGGAATCCCATAGCAACTCATCTGCTTTTTCCTGAAAATGGCTTAAGCCATCAAAAAAAAATCCCTTCATGGACTAACTCATCTCTCCATGGCACATCTCTTCTAAATGTATTTTTCTATAAAGTGAGTTGGGATCTATGAATATACATAAACCAGTAGCAATGCCCATCATGAGTTGTATGACGGGGGGGAATACCGAATTCTTTCCATGGGAATCTTTCTTCTTCACGCCTTCCATCCCACGTTAAAGAATGTGCCATCGGTCTTTAACAGTCAATTCTTAAACACACTCAGCAGCAATTAAGTTTCACATTAGAGCTGTTGTTTGCAAAAGCCATACCTGTGGATCAATGGTGTTTGCAGTCATTGATCAGGTAAGCATTGACCTCTGTGTGTACACAGTTCGAGAGCATGAAAAAGGGATAGCCACCTATTGATTTCAAACCGTCTCTAATATTATGTGTGTTTCAACACGAGCGTTGCCTAAAACAGCTGTAAGAGCACAAAATCACATTTTGGCTGCTTTCCCTGAAGGGTAAAGAGAACGGCAGAGGAGGGAACCTCGCTTTGAAAAAGAGAAAAAAAAATGCTTATCCATTCAGAAGGAATCAATGTACAGAGGAAAGGGGGGGGGGAGGGTGAGGAGGAGATGGAGAGATACTCTTGTCAAGTCGATGCTGTTTTCACTCTCTGAGTCTCTAGGGCAATTTGGAGGTTTTGGTGGATTTTGTTTCAGCTGCTTCTGACTGTAAATTATGCTAACAGTCATGGTTTTTTAAGTTGCTTCTCGTGTTCACAGACAGAGGAGAGGCTGTGGGGTGCATCCTGGTGATGAGGAGGTCACTGAGAGAACAGACACCACGTTCCCAATTTAGCAGGCCAGGAGCCGAGGATCATCAGCCCATCTGCCAACGGTCACTGGAGAGCACCCGCTACTCCACCAGCTCTCAAACACTGCTGTCAGTACGTATTTCTGTCTGGCCATCAATCCATACTCTGTTCAGTTTTTAAGGGCAGTGAAAGGGTGTGTTTGAAAATGGCAACAATCGGTAAAATTGGTAACGAGTAAATCGCTGATGGAATTCGATTTTAGTCATGGAAGATGACTGTTATTTAATAAAAGACTGTCCTAACTAAGGAGACTAAAGTCTTATGAATGTTTCCTTCTAAGCTGTTTATCATTGTCATATTCTTACTTTGTAACACTGATATTAACATAGTTGACACAAATGAGTTTGACTCTGAGCATAAACTTGCTTTGTGACTCTTTTTTTCTCTCTCTTTCCGTCTCCTCCTGTATTTTTATTCATTTTTTTTGTTCTGTGCAAGGAGTCACAGGAGAGTATTAATTTGCAACCCATTTCTGTCTTAATGGCAGTGAGCGTGTGGGTGGGTGTGTTTCTTCTGTCCGTACAGTATCAGACGGAGGAAAAAGATGAGTCAATGATACCAGCACACTACTCTCAGGGCTGCTCTAAAGTCCTCCATGTTTTTAATCACCCGCAACTCTAACATCTAATTAATCATTAACATTTCTCCTGCTGATCCTCAGCCCTCTGGGGCACCGTGCAGAACATCCCTCGCTCACATTATATTTGTTTGTGTGTGTGCACGTACAGTGTGTGTGTGTCTCTGTTCTGAAGCAGGTGGCCAGGGTAGTCGTTAGGATAGCAATTAGTGTAGATGAGGGGGTTAGTCGGCCAAAAAACAACTCCTGTATGTATTGACCAGTATACCTTCTTTTTTGGTCATGATTCTGTTCTTACTGGTGATATTTGTCTTCGAAATGATGGGGGGAAGTCCAACCAGTATGAGGCTGGAAGCAGTCAAATTTCCTGTTAGGTCAATTCAATTTCTGTGAGTAATCTTGTCATTCAGGAAATAAATGTAAAAAAAAGGGCCACAAAATTGGTTATTTTTCAAACTAATTTGATGTTTCTGCATTTCCACTCAAGCAGAAAAAAAAAACTATTATTTGAATGTGGGAACATTTGAGCCATTGACTTGTCATTAGTTTTGTCAATGATCATAACACTGTAGACAGTTTACTTTGGGAAATTGGAGTTTTTTACCCCTAATTTGAAAATTTCTTGTTATTTATCAGTGTGTTTTTCCTGTTGCCTGGGAAAAATAGACAAAATAGTGAAACCCAGATGATAGAACACATATAAAGTGGATACACTAATACAGTGGATTGTAATGAGAATTCAGAATTAACTGGCCTGATCTCTAATGAGATAGAAACCTGCATGCTAGATCATTTACATTCCCAGTTAAGCATTTCTAGTCGCTGTGTTGCTGTTTTTCACCTGGATGTGATTCTCCACTCTGAATCTGATCTCATGCCACTCAGGAAAGAACACAATGAATTGCTGAGGCTCTTGTGTGCTATACGTGTTGTGAATGCTTGAGAACCTAACCTCGCTGCTACTAGAACTGCCTCTGGTGATCTGTTTTATTTATGACATGTGGCCTGGGCTATAAGCTAAAAAGTCTGAGATGAGAATGTGGTTGTTAAACAGACGGGAAGGGGGCTAGCCCGTGTCATCTGAATGTGTCTGGATGGGGTATCTTTCCCACCTTCACCATCTCCTTAGCTCTTTGTTCACATCCTGCCTCCCCTCATTGCCTCTTCTTCCCACGTCTCTGCTTGTCTACGCCCTCTCCTCTTCTCTTTATTTCCCTTTTGTCTCCTTTTTTTTCTTCCTCTCTTCCTCTGCTCTGTGTGTACAGACAGTCGTGCACTTCACTGCCAGCGGTGATTTATACTGCTTAGGCAAATGAGTGTGGCTTACGGCGCGCTGCTCCTTCTCTGCTTCATCAGTACACACTGCACATAACACTGGAGCAGGTTGGAGCCTGCAGGCACATACACAACCACTGAAATTGATCTAAGAGACACGCTGGAGGGGTTCTCCTGCCATACAACGGGTTGATGTGATTCATTTCTGTGTTTTGGATGTAGTGGAATGCGTAATTGAGCATGTACATTTTCAAGCTTTGTGCCTCTCGTGTAACCACTGTGGGTTTTTTTTTTTGTTCAATGGCAAAATTGCCTGTTTGGGCCACTCGGTGACTTGTTAGTTAATGCTAAGAAAGCATTAGCGTTCAAAGATATGAACGAAATCAACATGTTTTTCCAAGACTGCCAGATATTTTAACATGTATCGGAAAAATAAAAACATAAAGGCAGACACAGCTAGAGATAAACTGAATATTTTGGGGATATTTCATTAAACAATCTTTTCACTTTGTTGCTGAAAATGGACAATTAAACATTAGAGTAGTTATTTATGTATTTTTTGTTGTGGATATATTCAAATGAGAATATTTGCAGTCGTCTAATAATGTCTGCTCTGGCTTATTAACTTATTAGCAGAAAAATACTGAGTCTGGGATCCAGAGGTTTGGCAGGTGCATGGATTTTGTCAGTTATTGTAATCACACCTGCTGTTATTTATTAATTTTATTAGCAAGTCTGTTTCAGATTTGCTCCCAACACTCTGAAATAGCATTGCTAATCACAGAGAGCACAACAACTTTAGTCCAACGTATGAAAAGAGGCATAATCAGGAAATGATATCATTGTGTGAACATTACACACTAACTGTTGTGACCTCAACATGACACGGTAGCCGTAAGGTTTTTAAGTCAATTTTCCCAATGGTGGTTGAAATAAACGAATAAAAAATATCAATGAGGTCATTTATAAAACCCCACGAATCCAAGGTTTTTCAGTTGGATTTATACTTTATCTCCTGTAAATAGTGACCACACCACAAAATAAATCACAAACATATCTTAAAAGTAGAGCATAAAAGGTTAATCTTGGTTAAAGAAAAAGAAGGCAATAACAGGTATGGCTGATTAAATGCAGTTTTTTTCATTAAAAAGAGAATACAGAGTGTTTATAACTCATTTCAGGTGATGCAAAGTGCCCCTATGCCCCATGGATACCTGTGACCTGGTCGACGAGGATGCGGGAGGTGATGATGCGGCCGTACTGGGAAAACAGCTGCTCCAGCTCCTTCTGGGTCATGGTCTTGGGCAGGCCGCTCACATACAGGTTGGCGTCACGAATGGAGGCTGAGCTGGGCCGTGCATAAGACACCTAGGAGGTTCAAAACAAATAATCTTAAAGCGTGTATCAAAGTCTTTATCAAGCATTAAAATCCAAGGTGGTTTACATCTGGAAAGATTGCTATGGTTAAGACAGGGTGTGAATCATTAGATCCATAGGGAGGAAAATGACACTGTATGTCTCTTCCTTGTCATGGGTATTGTTGCTAGAAAGAGATTTAGCTGCTTAGAACACTAGAGAGTTAACACATTGTACCTCATCCAGTTCTTTGCTCAGGGACACAGAGAAATCTTTCCCCTAAATGGAAAGCCTAGGTGTTTTACCATATAAAACAGCTCAGGATTAGGACAAAAGTGCTACTTTACGTACAGAATCTGAGAAGGATTCTCAGCGGAAGCCTGACTTTATGACAAAGGCAGAAGATTGGCAATTTCAACATGTCTTTTCATTACACTATCAAGTAAACACAACAGCAATCACCCTTCAAAGCAATCACTCTTTTATGTATTCCTTTACTCAAAGATTCTAAATGTGGATGTCATATGGCAGTAACTGGTACTTTGCAGCTCCAAAGATTAACTCTGATGTACTGAACTCAGAAACTTCCCTTTCAGACACATTTTTTGGTGGTGAAAATCTATAAATCCCATTACGATTGCTGCTGACTGAATCAGCTTTTCCTTCCAGGACTCTCATGACCTCCGAGACCCGAATCATCAATCAGACAAATACAGTGGATGTGCAGTTCCATTCCTGAGGAACCGCGTGGAAATCCGGCTTGTGAGGAAACAGGATTGGGAACAGCTGGCTTTCCCCATGTCTCACTACTGGTTCACACATTTTCTTCCTCAGCCTATCTTCTTGGCTCCACTGTCTTCTTCTTCCTCTCGGTAGCTCTCTCTCTTTTGGCTGCCCGGCTATTTCCCGCCCGCTTCCTTCCTGCATAGTGCCTCGCTAAACCTTTCCACAGTCTGCCTCTTTTTTTCTGCTCCTCTTTTCTTCTCGGTACAGCTCTCTCTCATATTTTTCTCTCCTTGTCAGCCAACTCCAGATGTCTAATCCATCAACACCTCTTCAAGCTGTGAGCAATATTGTGTACTAGTGTGGCGCATGTGTGAAACAGGAGTGAGCGCTTGTGTGCAGGAAAAGTTTGAGAAACTTAGTAGGAAGATTAAAGTAATCACAAGCGCACGCTGGCTAAATGTGTCTGAGGCTGTGTGCAGACGTGTCACTGTGAGCCTCTCGCACCTTTGGCATGCTGCTTCCTCTCACACCTCTGCTGGAAGGCGGCCTCGCTGCCATCGCTGACAAAATCGAAGGTGTCACGGTGGAGGAAACCGCATAAACGCAACCGAGTCAGAGACACTTCGGAAAGACATATCGCCCGAGAGAATGTGAATCTCTGGGCCAAGCGCTTCCTCACAAGTGCGGCGGCAGAATGTGGGAAGGGTGTGACACGAGAGAGAGCGACAAACTTCGTTTTGGAATTACTGCGCTGCCTTTTAATTTACCTTGTTACCCTGGGGGCTTTCACTGTGTTGTGGCAGAAGAAAATGGAGAAGGAAAGTGGTGGGAAGAGAGAAGATAAGTGTGAAAGAGTGATTGTGTCAGACAGAGATGCAGCGTTTGTCTTCCACCTTTACAAACTGCTTTTAACTCAGGAACAACTTGAAGCAACCTCTTGTGCCATGACAGTGTAAACGTGATAATCTGTGAACTCCGAATTCAACACTGTGTGAACAACCCTGGGCTTCCTCGCTCTATAAACAACTATCCGTTTTTATTTTAATTCCAGGCTGGCTGACGTGCACCCACCAACAGTTCCAAATTCTGTACTATGGCCCTCTTTAAATGAGCTTTTTGTAACTTATTTTATTAGTTTTCTTAGTAATAGCTATCATAAACCAAGGCCAAAGACAATAACATCTCAATGAGTCTAATCGAGAGGATATAGCCAATAAATGAGAAGGTAAACAGATGATATGTTGTTTGGAAGAAGCTGTGTGTGGGAAAGCTAACTTTTTTTGGCATATCCAAACACTTCAAATCTTAGCCCAACTGTGGTGGAACTGCAGGTTCTAATACAAACATGGACTTACCATCTATGAGAAACACATCAAATCATTGTGGATATTATATTAGACAAACAGCAAAGTTAGACCAGAGGGAAAACCCAGTGCTGAATCAAGGCCAGGCCTGACAGTTTATGCTATCTAGGGACTGCTGGGATTCTCTGGGGGATTCCCTGTTCGGCGTGGCGCTAATCCTATCCTATTTGATTACATTACACCGGACTAGATCAGATTAAATCAGATGACAGAGAGCGAGAATGCAGGGCCTGCCACAGAGCAACTGCCCAGCTTAGCAGCAACAGCACATTTGCGGAGCGGCGCAGAGAGGATGACGGCCGTGGACATGAGCTGGGAAAATCATATCAGCGGGAAGATTAATTAGCTATTGGAAACATTTGCAAAAACAAGTGTATCTAGGGTTTCATTTTTAGTCTTCTAAAGTGTCTGGATCAAGGGCAGTGTAGTGTGGGTGCAGATTTATCCATTCTAACCACAATTACGCCTGACAATTAGCCATGCCATTTAAAAGGCAATAACAGAACACTAAATTATTTGGGAAAATAGGATGATTGACGTGTTTCTTCCCTTTCATCCGCTGATATCTATATAATTTCACCTTTAAATTTTGACATTTAGAAAAGTAATTACCATATCAACCATAGTCACAAGCGTTTTAATGTGTCTTTTCGATTTAGATGGTCTTTTTATTTCTGCGGCTCATGCATGTTAATCCAATCTCAGCCTTTTTCACATTTGAGAACAGCAATAGCACCATCTAAAAAGAGCTCTTAGACAAAAGAAAGCAGACCCATAATTTAACAAGACCTCCATAAATTTCTGAAATACATGACATAACACCCCCCCCCCTTTTTCATGGTGAAAACTCTCTGATTTCAATCTATTCATTTCACATGTGTGAAGAAGAATTTGGTGTTACCTTGATTGTTTTGGTCTGAAGTCTGAGTCCATTTAATGTGTTGATAGCCTTCTCTGCATCCTTTGGGTCGATGTAGTTGACAAAGCCGTAGCCCAGACTCTGCCCTGAAATGTGAGAAAAAAATATGTTGTTAGTTGTGTTATCGTTTTGTTGCCCACACAGGCAACATATGTAACATACTTCACATTTTCTACTTGAAAATCATAGCCATTCTGGAGTGGAAAGGCTAATGCTTTAGACCACTCAGCAATAAGACAGCATATGTCAAATTCTTTGATTTTCATTTGTTGGATCCCATGCCGCCCCTTAAACTTTGTCCCTACTCACAACCACAAGGACCACTTGCACAGCTAACTCTCTTCTCTGAAAAATCCTAGGCAGCATATTTTCATGACGCCTCACACTCATAGCACATTTGAGTTTAGTTACAGCTTGACAAGATCGTTTGATTGGTAAACCACCCTTGTTGGAATCGACTTACTGACTTAAGTCGTTTCATACCATGACACAGTGCGTGTGAAAATGTTCAAGACACTGCATGTGAACATTACAACATTTTATTTCTATCACTTGATTGACAATTCTGTTGTACCACCATCTTAATGAACTGATTTACAAATACAATTTCGGACTCATTTAGACATTGATTAAAGAGAGAAATTGATACATATGTGAATGAGGTCAACATCATTAGGAATTTTACTGTTAATTTTCTTCAGGCAAACTAACAATGCTCAGATTTGAAAAGTATAGACAAAGGTTCCAAAAGGTGGTGAAAGTTTGGTCAACCTGCCTTAAAGGGAAGATTGCTCATTGTTGCGACCTGGGATTTTCAAACATGAGATGACCCTACAGAAACTTTCCCCATTTTTTTTTACTCAATGATAAAGAAAATCCTAAAAGGTTTCTGAAAAAAATGGTGGTATTTGACCAACAACTATGACATTGATAATGTTTTTTTTTCCGAAGTTCCTGGACATTGGAGTTATCCAAAGGGAAGATGTCCTCACATAGCTGAAAACAGTGTGTGCCACTGAAATACTCACAGGAGGGGTTACAGGTGCAAACAACATTTTTGTTAATTTCCTTGCTGCAGCGCAAGAGAATTATAAAGCAAACATACCACCCCCATTTCCTTCTAAGCTCCAAGTGTTTTAGATAGCACACTTCCTTTCAAATTGAAGCAGGCCTGACATCTCCCAGTGTTTCCCCAGTGGATCAAGCCTTTCAACAGGCTTAGGACTTTAAGCAGACGCCCCCAGCCATCAGGGCTTTCAGTCAACAAACAGCCCCTATCCTCTAACGCCACACACAGGCACGAGCAATCTCAGGCACTTTTAGAGGGGCAGCATACAAATATTCATGCTAATGAGACCAGACAGCAGTTAGTCAGAGACAAAGTGAATCACAAAATATGGAGCGTGGCTCTTTCACAAAGTAAATACATTTGGGCAATGGATATCCCAAAGCAGAAGAGCTAAGAAGCGAGCAAGCGAAGAGCCAGGAGGGGACTTGTCGCCCTAACATCAAACGGCTGATCATTTTTGCTTCTTCTCCTTTCTCCTCCCTCTTCTCCTCTGGATTAACGGTGGATTATCAGGCACTCTATTGTTAATTAAAAACCTGCCATCCCGGAGAGACTACTGCTATTTATAACAAACCGTTCTCTCTTTACTCCTCTCTTCCTCTCTGACTCTCAACTGACATCAGGTGTTAAGTTTGGCAGTTTAAAAATAACTCTTAAAGCCAATTTTGTGGCTCCTCTCTTTATTAAATAGTACACCAAAACCCACAAGAGATGAGAATAATGAAGAGAGGGACAACATGTAGCAAAACTATTTCACTGAATAAATTAAGACATGAATTTAGTGTTAGTATGCCAATAAAGCAAAAGCATCCATAAACAGAATTATAAATAACCTAGCTGTGTTCCTAATGGTTACTGCTCTGTTCTGTTAGCCTATTCAATTTAATTCCAGATGAGCACAGCTGAGTGCCTGGTACTTCAAATGCTCCTCTCACGCCTTCTCTACTTCCCTACTTCATAACTCCCTCTTGCACAGGACCCCGCTCACCCCTAACCCTCATCTTTAACAAGACATGTTGTGTTAATGCTACCATTTGCGTGCGCCCCTTAATTGGGTGTGTATGTTCTATACATGGAGATCCTCGGCTTGTATTTGCATACTTTTGAGACCCATCTCACTTGTTCCCTCCTCTTTTGGCACGTCTAACAACTTCCAGAGCTGGGAGGCAGAGGCTGGGAGCGGAGCTCACTGGCTGGCATCCTTCCCCAGGTGAGTGGGAGATGAGGACAGACAGAGGGAGACATCTGCCTACAGCACAGGAGAAGCTCCAGGAAGGGATTCCACCCACTATTTTCAGCCTGTTACAGAGCAGCTAACAGCAGGGAGCTGTTGGCACGCCGCCATCGATGGGTGGGAGATGCCACACCGACGCAGATGTACACACGTGCAAAGAAAATCACTCCATCACACAGACACACAGACACAACTCAAGTGGTCAATAATAGCTCCAGTCGTACAGTGAGAGTGGACAGACTGGCCTTGAATTACTTCTTGTGTTATTGTGGTGTGGAAAGAGAAAGATTGTTTCAATCTTTTGTCTTATGTAGTGCACAAAAGCACAAATACATGCTACGGCAATGCCCACACTACACACACGCTGACATGACAGGCAGTGTGGCTGGCTCCAGCCTATCACAGCATGTCCCGAGTCCACCTCAGTGCGCCCCAGCAGGATAAGTTCTGCATGCTGTTTGAATTTGAATCACACCATCACAGTTCCGGCTCACCACACCGTGGTTAAGCACAACACCGGTGCAGTTTAGAGCGGCTCAGCACCACTTAACTTAGCACGCCGTCTTACTGGAATGCAAGGTCAGCTGGGGCTCTTTTAATATTGCAAGATTACAAGAAAAATACTTTATTGTCCCTGAATGCAGACAGAACTAAATCTTGTTTCAAGTTTATGAAATCTAGACACGCATTTAAGATAAAAGCCCATCTTATGGAACAAAAAATTGTTCATTGTCAAGGCAATCTGGTGGACAATTAAAAACGTGCAAGAACTTGATTATGTTGATTACTGTATATGTCCTATTTAAACTATAAGATATATTTTCTTCCTAAAAAAGCACCATGATCAGAGCCTCAAAGATTTTTCAGGCAAAAATCACAGAAGAAAAAGCACCACATCACAGTTAAAGTTTAAGAACCTAATAAAGGAGCTGTCCTAATAGCAGAATGACATTGAAGTCAACAGAATAATATGCTTTGCGTTAATTAATAAGCGAAATAAAATCATTAACCATTTTTCCTCTTAAGAATAACACATAAGATAAAAACTTATCTTTTTTATTTTCATGTTTTAGCTGCTTCCATGGGCTACCATTAACATTTGTTGGCAATAAAGAAAGTGTTCTAAATTTGAAAAATTATGTAAATCTAATAATGGCAGGGGTCCTGAAGTGGAACATTTGTAGTATATAATCAAAGACTGTAGGTTGATAATGATATGCATTTGCCACATGACAACCACAACTGTAGCTGGTGATCATAGAAATCTCCATGTCCACCTTCACTAAGGGACTAACCCTAAAAGTGTCAGGGAGGTGGGTCTTGAGGGAGGACTCAGTCGCGGAATGAAGGGGAAACAAGGTTTATTGTACAAACAGGGTGAAAGTCCAGACAAAGTACAAAACAAAGCTGTGGAAAACTGTGGGCAAAGTATCAAAGCAAAGCAAACAAGACTGTGGTAAAGTAACAAAATAAAGATTAACAAGACTGTGACAAAACTGAGACAATGACTGTGGCTGTGGCAGAACTATGACGAAGACAAACCTGGCGTGGGGGTGACGACGGACGAAAGGACAAGGGACAAGAAACAAGAAGACAAGAAGACAAGAACGACCCCGCACCAGACAAGGGGAAACGAGGACTATTTAAACACATGAGGGAGGGAAACCCCAGGTGTACACAATAGGTAATCAAGACGAGACATTCCCCCAGGCGTGACAAAAAGGTGGGAGAGGGAAAAGGTGGGGGCTAATTTAAACCCGCCTCCACTATTTTGTCAGACCTTTTGTGCAGTCGGGCATAAATTGTGTAAGGAGGTGGGCATGTTTTTCAGTGGTAAAATCACAGCTATTTCAAGTGGGTAGTCTTTGGTGTGTTGGCGAGGAGTTATGACTAAGCCATTATTTGTTTCCTGAGGAGCAGCAGGTTGCCCAATGTGTGAGATGAGAAAATGAGTGTACTTCGAGCTAGTGTCCTGCCTGCTGGCACCAATATGTAATTTAATCTTTCCATTCTCCATTTACTTTGCGCGCGCACACACACACACACACGAGGATGAAATTGTAGATATACACAAACTTACCTCGGAAAGATTACATATATATGTATATTTCACAGGCATGAACACAAACAAAGCAAATGTATGCATGGCCACACTGTATTTACAGGTATGCCATCAAGTTGCATAAAAACATTCATGAGATAAGGTGAGGTGCACAGTATGGTACACAATCATATGCTGCACGGTACACAAATAAGAGACTCCACTGCTTATTGCCTGTCATTATTTTGTGCCTTTTGTTGTATTATGTGACTAAGAGCCCTGTATGGCAGACATGAAAGCATCTTCATCTCCTGCTGCGATCAGGCAGGACTCACATAACACACCATACACTCTTTGATCTAAAGTGTTAGCTAGCAAATGAAAGGCATAGCTGCAGGAACATTCTATTTTACCATCTACTTTGCTACAATCTGTTCTTCCTCATGTTCCTCCTACCGAACGTTCGCTGAAATTGTTTGACTGTTAATTCAAAAAGTTCATTTGAACTGCTGACACTTGTCAAAACACGCATTTGCAGCAGAAGCAATTTGTCCAGCCAAGTTGTTCACATTCTATTCGAAATGACTCACTGTTCCATCTTCTGTCTGTGTAGATCTTATATTCAAATAAAAATTCAATATTGAATAAAAATAAGAAATTTGTGTAGCAAATACTACCCAAAAATGCATGAATTTAAAGAAATCTGACAAAAAAGAGTCTGATACTAATTAAATTTATCAGGAAGTACCTGACTGTTTCTATTTCCTATTGTTTCACCACATACTGTCAGCAGCTGAGTA